GACACCCTTTGCCTCCACGAAAAAAGTTTCTAAATGTGGCATCCAACAAGCAGTCACTTGTAAAATTCCTCTGTGAATATATTGTTCAAAATGCACCTTCTTGTTGGAGGCTTTTACAATGGGGAAGTAGCAAAGTCCATCACCAGTGGGGTGTTGAAGTCCAAGACTTGTACAGTAAGAAAGCGGACACAAGGATGCCTCTGCGTGCTGTATGTGCTAATACGGCTTTTGGGCCTCTCGGTGTCAAAGTAAACATAGTAATCACTTGACACAGAAGGTTTGGTCCTTGTGGTTCATTACTTTTCAAAACTGGAACACATATATAGCATGTGGATTGAAAGAGGCATCATTATCAGCACAACTGACAAGTGTTGCTTCATACTTGTGCATGCAATTTGTGATGCACTCACTCCTGACTTCTGCAACATACTTCCTGCTGTATTAACAGGATGTAACTCTGTTTCATCCCTATTTGGTACTGGGGAAAAAATCTGTGTTCGATGCTGTCAAAACAAAGGGAGCTTTATGCTCCAGAGATCTTGCCAAACTGGGAGAGAGTGACAGACAAGCTGCAATTTCTGCAGCAAGAGAATTGTTAGCAGCAACGTCTGACCAGAGTAAAAAAGAAAAGGAAATCTGAATAGTTTGCACCTCAATCTAGCCATCAAAAAGGACAAGTCACTGGCCAAACTCCCATCATGTGAGGACAGTTTTGAAGAGCACGTCTAAAGAGCATATTGGCAAACAAAGATTTAGATGTCTTTGCACATAGTTGAACAAGATATTGGATCACCACTACAACATGGATGGAAAAATGTGGATGATGAACTACTTCCTGTATTCTTCAAGGGTCCAGCGGCTTCTGAGCTTCTACAAGACCTTATTTGTGCCTGTACCAGTAGGGGCTCACTGCACAATCAACTGTGTCTGTAGTCAGAACAATCTTCCCTGCACAGAACTGTGTACTTGCCAAAGCAATGGAGACCACACACTCTCAATAGAGACCATAATGATGAACAAGATAATGATAATGAATCTGACTAGAAATGTAAACAGCACTATTACAGTTCAATGATACTTGTTCAAATTCATTATTCTATTTTGTTTCACACTTTAGATTGTTGTCGTGATGCTTTGAGGTCACAAAGAAATCCAATTTTATGTTCTTCAATAATACATACAGTCATTAATCTAACAGAAACGAATGCAAATATTTCAAAGTTTTAATTGTCGATGGTATTATTGTTTATCCCGTTTCTATGGTAATGGTGCCACTTGCCAGCCTCACATCATACGTCATCTTAAAGTAGACATTATAAGCTTTCCAATGATGTATTATGTGCATGTGTATAGAGAGGGTACATTAAGTCAACAAATCATGATGTCGGCTGCTCAACTGATTTCAAATAGGACTACATCAAAGCACATTAACAAACTGTTAATGCACATCAGCAGAGTCCACATAGACAGTCTGCGGAAGGCTAGTGCAAATAGATTCACACCTCAACTTGCTACAAACCATATTTGTGCATAGACAAGCCCTAAAAAAATGATTCAGAAAGTGATGGAACCTCCTTATGCCCTTTTCAGTTTTCTGCTGCCATAGTAGTGATGTCTGCTATAGATAATGAATGGCTACATACATGATTTATATGTTTATTGGTTCAAGAGATTGCAAAGAAAGCATATATTCTGTGATCTTCATTATTCTGCCGATTGACAGGGACCTAGAGCAGCATCATGAATTATGGAAACACTTGATGATTCATCCAAGCTCAAGCTTTAATGAGAAGCAGTAAGAGCAAGTAAGGTTAACCAGGGTAAAGTTAGACATAATGGGCTATCTCCTCAGCTGGTATATATGGACTCCAATGGAGCTGCACTCATTTACACCAGCTGAGACTTTGGCCCCAGGGCTCAATTTCATCCCTGAAGACAGTGCATAGGTGTGATAGAGTGATGAAAGCCCCTGTTCAGCAAAGCAGTTATGCATATGTCTAGCTTTAAGCACGTGCTTGAGTCCCATTGTCCAAAATCTCTTGCAAGATTTCCCAAAACATGCAGACTTTCTGATGACTGATTTCTTCAGCTTCTTATTATCTCTATATAGTATACTCCCATTTATCCAAATCCTCATTATCTGATCCTCTGCATTATCTGATTCCCTTCCTTGTCCCCCATGTATCTCAAGCTGATGAACAGACACCCCTGGACTGAACTGAAAGGAGCAGGACAAGCCCCCAGACACGGGGAGGCCACCCTGCTGCTGAGTGTGCAGGGAACCCTTGGGAGTGAGTGAACAGAGCTGTGACAGCAGAGCTGCAGAGGGATTTGTGTGCTGCCACAGGGACAGTGACACACAATCCCTGCAGGTACAAGGTGCAAGAAAGGCTGCGATCTTGGTGGAGTAGAACATAATCCCATGCTGCACCCAAATGTCCCTTCTAGATTATGTTTGCCCTATCCATCCTTTGAGATGCAGCCCCCAAATATTAATAGAGCTACCATTGTGATTTACACTTTGGTAAAATATTGTTCACCCACACTTTAAATGATCCAACAACTCTTCAAAGTTGGACTCATCTGTGAGCAATACATAATTCAGGTTTCATTCTTCCATTTCCTAAACTTTCTTGTCCACAAGATCTTTGTTGTCTGACCATATTCTTTTAAACATAGGTTTTTTGACAACCAGTCTACAATTTTCAATCTTATAATTTTGCTGGCCAGACTTGTACACACCAAATTCTTGGGACTCTCTGCTAGATCATTTGCCATGTGTCTGCTTGAATGGTATCTGGCTCACGCAGAAGTTATTCTTAAATACTGAATATCAGGCCCTCAATATTCGCTTCCTCCCATGACCAGCTTTGGGCCTGATCCTAAAACCCATTAAAGTCAATGGGAGTCTTCTCATGGACTTATCATTTAACATTTATATTGGGGTAGCACCTAGAGGCCAATCTGATTGTGGCCTCAATATGCTTGGTGCTGTACAAACATTCAAAAAAATGACAGTCCCTGCCCAAAAAACCTTAAAATCCAAAAGGAGATTAGGGCCAGATTTTGATGCTCTTATTCACAATGAAAGTCACCTTACTTCACCAGTAATCCCAGTGAAGTCAATGGGTCTGCTTGTGAAGTAAGGTACTAGTCAACATGAGTAAGGCTAACAGAATCTGTCCCTAAGCTGTTCATTTGTTTTAGTACTATCAGATATCTTAATCTTTTCTTTTAAAACCCATCTCATTTGTAGCATGCAACAAAATCCCACTTAATGATATGCATTTTCTCTTTGCAAAGAGCTTAATTCTAGGTAGTGAGCCAGGTGGTGCCCTCAGATACATGAGCGCAACTCCCATTGATGTTTTCATTTACCTTCGTTGTCTACTAATGTAAATACAAATGTAACTCATCTCTCTGTACAGTGTATTTGCATAACTTTGTCTGCCTACGTCTTTAGGCATTAGTTTTAAACTGACATTTCTCCTAGAGCAACCACTGCATCAGCATTTGGATGTCACGCAAAATTTTGCTCAAAGCCAAGAAAACAGTTGAGGTCTGGGCTGTATAGAACAATCCTATCTCTTCTGAAGAGGCCCCAATACTTGCAATCCCTTATCCTGTCCCCTGGATTCCGTTTTTGCCTCTTGTCCTTCCTCGCTCCCCCTCTTTCCCTTGTCATCAATCTCTATCCTCTAGTTCCTTTCCACAAGTCTACAGACACACCAGAGTTCAACTTCAACCTTGAAAATACCCTTCTGCAGACTCTTCTATTTCTGCTTCTGCTTCCAAGATCCTTATTGCTGACCCTACTGTTTACTCCTGCTTCCAGACTTTCTCTGCTCCAACTCTATTCTTGATCTCCTCCAGCCTGGCTTATGCCCTTGCTACTTCCCTGGAAAGTCACAGGGGCAATATTTTACTTTGATCTCTCTGCTGCCTTTGAGACTATTAGTCAAACCCTCATCCTGCACTTTCTCGGCTTCGGTACTTCTTTAGCCTTCAGCATCTCCTCCTCTTAATCCTGCCCCTAACTCCCCATTGGTTTCTACTGGGGCTCCATCCCCTCTTTCTTTTTTCTAGGCAACTTCATCCACGCTCACAGTGTTACCTACTGTCTCCATGCTGATGATTTCCAAATCTGCCTCTCTATCCTCATCTCTCCCCTTTTGTCCAGTCTACCATCTCCAACTGTTCTTCCTACATCTCCTCTTTGATGTCCTACCACTATCTCATTGGGCCAAATTCAGTGGGGTCATATATAGTGGTGTAAAATACACAGATTATACTCTCATTTACAACAGTGTAAATGTAAAGTAACTCCACTGAAATCAACAGAGCTATTCTAAATTTACATTGGTGTAACTCAAAGCTGAATTTGGCCTCATGCCTAAGTTGGTTAAACAAACGAACTAAAAACAAAAACAAAACAATACAATCAGGTGTAAGTGGCAGAAGCATAATTACTGGGGATACATAACTAAGGGTAATTTATATGCCCAGTGTGCAGAAGGAGGCGAGGATAGAAGGAATAGCAACTAATAGGAAGGTGCAAGGCAAAGTAGTGATGAGGGTTGCCATACCAAACACCACTTATTAGTTGTTCTCCCCCGCCTTCAGTCACATCGACATGTAAGTTACATCCTTTGTCCACATTCACCGAATAACAAATCTGTCTGAATTACACCCTAGAAAGGGAAGCTATATTTCACTTTAGAGAATTCCTTCTGTTCATCAGTGTGTGGCTGACGAGGCCTGTAGGGAAGCCAGGCCTAGTATTGTATATGGTAGACTCTGAGAATAACTGTGTGCATTGAAACAGACGACTTATAAGAAACAAAAGGCAAGAGATGAAAATAGCACTGAACAGTCAAAAAAAGGTTAAAGGAATTTACTACAAATCTGTTCAAACAGAATGATGTTCATTGTGTTTGACTATGTCAGTTCCAAATCTGTTTTTCAAACTCTGCGATGGTTTATCACATAGCCATACTCACCTGTCCAAACACCTCCTCATTCACTGTGAAAGTGAGATCCAGGATATCAGTGATGTTGTTATCCTTCATCCACTGCAAGCTCTGATGAAACTCCTCATCCAGGTACTCCAAGTCACTTAAATCACATGGCCTAATTGTACAGCAAGACAGAGAAATGACGAGGAAGATATAACCTTATGCGTATCAGGATGATGGTTCACTGCTCAGAACATGTACAGTGTTTTCTTATGACAAAGCTCTGACAAAAGCTGATGCCCTTTTGACTTTATACATACACCTTTTGTTAAAGCACCAAACTCAAAGTGCATGGACTACAGAACATTAAAGATCAGTAAAAGAGAATGATGTGCATTTTAAAAGCTTATTAAAAGAGACTTCATTGCAAATTCAGATTAATTCTCATAGACTTTAAGGTCAGAAGGGACCATCGGGATAATCTAGTCTGACTTCCTTCACATTGCAGCCACAGAACTTCACCCACCACTCCAGTAATAGACCCCTAACCTCTGGCTGAGTTACTGAAGTCATGATTTAACCAACCATTTCAGATAAACATTCCTCTGAGTTATCATCTGTCAATATATATCAGTTCATTCAACTGAATCTTGGTATATTTTATGTGGCTTTTCTTATTGCATACAATTGATTAAAGAGCAATAGACCATCCATTAAAATATCAAAACATTTCAATGAGCATTAAAAGTAATACATTACTGGGCATCATTGTGTAAGACAGGCTGAGCAAAACCCATAAGAAACCTGTAATGCTTTACATCCATATTAACATTTGTAAACATAATTAACAAATGCTTAGGCTGAAAAAAAATCCAAACAATGGAGGTTGGGCAATTATGGTTTTTCTAGTGACAAGCAAGATAACTCATTTTGTTTAGAGAAAATAATTGTTTCTCTGTGGACTGTCCAATTAAATATGCTTTTCAGTGACCCATATCCCATTTAAATGGTTTGGACTGCATTTTCCGAATATTAAAATTTAGGAACGTGGACCAATATTTTCAAAAGTGGGTGCTTAACTCCAATGCTTTTTAACCCTTTAATCAACACGGTTAATATTAAAGAAGGGCACATTCTGGGGGGGAAAAAAGGAAATTATTAAATCTCCCTCCCATCTACCCTAAAAACAAACAGTGGAAGACCTTGAAAACTAAGGTCCCAGCCCTGCAATGAACTCCACAAGGGTTTGCTTCTGCAGAGATCATGGCAGGATCGAGGCCCAAGTCTCTGTTGATTGCATTCATATACTTACAGTCTCAGTAGTGCTTTATAGAATGGCCTCGTGAAGAAAGCATCAAGAAGATACTGATGAATGAGAGCAAGGCCAAGGATACGACCACTGAACCTGAACCTAGGATACAAACAACACACAGTAAACAATGTCAGGTTTCAGAGGAACAGCCGTGTTAGTCTGTATTCGCAAAAAGAAAAGGAGTACTTGTGGCACCTTAGAGACTAACCAATTTATTTGAGCATGAGCTTAAGTGAGCTGTAGCTCACGAAAGCTCATGCTCAAATAAATTGGTTAGTCTCTAAGGTGCCACAAGTACTCCTTTTCTTTTTAGTAAACAATGTGTAACTCAGAACATACCAATGTAGGAGCTTATGTAAATATATCTAATCTAATCTATCTATCTATCTAAGTATGGGTACTGCAGTAGATAAATCAAAAGAAGCCTCTTAATCTCTCAGTCACATAGTTTAAGGTGCAAAATAGGCAGTTGTCAGGAGGAGGCCAAAAAGATGAATAAACTAAAGTAATGGAGAAGCAGAAATATATATATATACACACATACCAATGTAGCAGCTTACATATATATGTATGGGTACTGCAGTAGATAAATATATATATATATATATTTCTGCTTCTCCATTACTTTAGCTTATTCATCTTGTTGGCCTCCTCCTGACAACTGCCTATTATGCACCTTAAACTATGTGACTGAGAGATTAAGAGGCTTCTTTTGATTTGTCTACTGCAGTACCCACACTACTTGGTGGCTTTGGCAGTTGGTATATTGCACATAAGCTGCCCTCAAATTCTAAACCAACAACCACTTGCCACATTCAGCTCCTGTGATCTTTAGCAGGACATTATACTATAGATCAGGTGTGTCAAATATCTGGACTTTGTGCTGAATTTGGCCCGCTTAAGATGTTCATATGCCCACTTTGATGGGGTTCCTGCTCCACACTGGGCTCTAAGGGGTTAATAAAGCCCTATGGAGGCTGCACAGGAGGCAACCAATCAGTGAAGGGCTGAAGGGAGCAGCCAATCAGAGCCAAGCAAGCCCATATAAAAATGGAGCTGCAGGGCCGAGGAAGGCAGTTCTCTGCTGGGAGCTCGGGGAGGAAGGGCTGTGTCACTGGAGGGCTGAAAGAACTGCCAGCACCCTGGACAGAGCAGTGCTGCGAGCAGGGACCGGGGGAGCGAGAGACAGCTCCTGGCTGGCTGCTGGGGTTTGCAGGCTGAGACCTTGAGGCAAGGCCAAAGAGGATGCTGGGGCCATGAGGAAGTGGCCAGACAATTTGCTGCAATTGCCTCTAAGAGAGTGGCTGAACAGTAGACTGCAGGTCTCCCGGAAGCTGGGAGCATAGTATGTGTGGCATGGCCGGAGGGCTGTGTTGCTGAAGAGGATGCCCCGGTCCTTGGAGAGATGTGGGTCCTAGACCAGGAGTGATGGTTGTGAGGCACCACCTGAAGAGAGTGCACTAATATGCGGAGCTAATCCCCAAGACAGCCAGCAGGAGGCACCACAATGATGAGTGAACCCTGTCATACAACCCATCATAACAGATTAAGGTTCCCCCCTCCCCTCCCAGAAAGCAAACTTTTATTGAGAAACAGTTGTGTTTTTAGCCCCTGTGGTTGCAGTGAAAACTTTCCAAACATGAACTGAGTGTCACTGATGCAAAACCAACAGAGAGCTGTCTTCCTGAGTCTGCAGACAGGCTGACACAACAGCTTAAGAAATGTTAACAGTCCCATTCATCTTAGTAAAGTGTGAACTTTTAGGCATAAAAATGGCACTTTAAGAGCCAGTTTTCCAAATAATTAATGTGCACAATTACTGCAATTCTGTGCACAAATCAGGCAATTACATGTGCAAATGGCAAACAACAAAAATAGCAGTGGTCCTAAAAGTGCCCTGAATCCCTTTGTCCCACTGAGTTATGCTGCATGCAATGTTAACTTCACTAACTAAATGTTTAGTTATTACACAAGGGCCGCATTCTTCCCTTGATCTTTGAATAAGCCTCCGACTGTTATCAATAGAAGATCTGCTGTGACTCGGTATGATACCCCCCTAGCGTAGATGCAGCCAACAAAGAAGTTCTTCTGTCAGTGTAGCAACACTACTTCCCTGAATTATGTTAGCAAGAGAAGCATTCTTCCATTGATATAACTGGGCCTGCACTGGGAGTTTTGTAGGCATAGCTATGTCGATCAGGAGTGGGTTATTTTCCACACTAAGACTAATATTATGATTTGAGTCCCTGCAACAGTCTATAGCCCAGTTTTCTACAAATTGTTCAGGATTCCCATATCTAGTTTAAACAGATGCAATGATGTGGCAGCGATCCATAGCTCTTTCAGCCAACTAGATTATAAATAAAATGAAATGGAATTTGACAATAAATGGAAACGACACTGCTGCCGCGATATGCCCTTATGAAAAAGTAATACTATTTTAGTGTACGTTAAATAGTTTGCTTTTTAATCTGGGAATTCCTCTGTACTGTGAAAACGCTTGTGGTCTTAAATGGACCAGAGGACAGAGACAAACATCAGCGTGTATATCAAGCTGAAGTCCACTGGGCATTATGGCCTGGGAGACAGGAAACCTGAGTTTTAGTAATTGATTTGCTGTGTGACCTTGGCCAAATCATTTCCCTTCTTTGTGCCAGTTTCCTACCTGTAAAATCAGGATCATAAAGTGTATCCACTGTTGAAAAGTACTCTTAAGACCCTCAAGTCATTTTACATTACCAGGCAACAACCGGTAGTAAAAATGTTTGTTCACCACTCACCTGGGTCAGACTTTAATCAGTAACCTAGATTTGAAAGACTAATTTTAATAACTATCCCCGCAAACTGGCGATGAAGTTCATGCCTGTCAGAACAATCTAGTTATAAAAATCTGAGTTACTTTTTGTGTATATCTTGTGTTATAGTGTATGACGATAATCTGCTGCATCTCTACTGTTCAATAGGTAACCTTTAGAACCTGGGTTTTGGAGGGGAAAATGTATGACTGATTTCACAATGGGAAATTTTTGTTGAAAAAAGAAGCTGTTTATCAGTCCAAAAGAAAAAAAAACCCTAAATGTGAACACTCTAAGCATAAGGTCCTTTGAATTGATTGACATCCTAGTAAAATTTTACAGCACTGAAAAAAAAAACATATCAAAAGTAAGAAACGGTTCCTTCCACTCCAGGGAAAAGCACACAGATCCCTTTTGCACACAACTGATACATATGCCTTGCTGTAATAAAAGCAGCAATGAATATCTGTTCAGTCAACTCTCAAGGGATAGAACAAGTGCTTAGTCTGTCGAATGGGGCACAGAATGACAGTGGTCCCAGTTAGCATTTACATCTCCACAGGAGCCTCCTGTGTGTCCCCTGCTGCCAAAAGTAGGCGCATATGGTATATAGCTAACTATTAACAGAAGTGTGATTATATGACCCTTACAGCTGTTTCCATAACAGCAACAAAAGGCAGCTGTTGGGAATGTTTAGAACCTGTTTCACTTCACTTGTGGTCCAGTGCAATGTTTCCAGCAAAAAGCAATTAAAGAGGTGAGCTGCAACAGTGAAAGCACTGTGGAAGCCAGACAACTAAAGGTGGAAAAAATGCCTGAACTGTTGACTGTAATCCGTCAGATTGAGAGTCAGGTCCATTTGTCCTAAATGATGCAACTGGTTTTTTACTTTCTCCGTCATAATTTTTGAAAGTAAAAGTTCAAAATACAATAAGCATAAAATATTCCATTGCCAGAAGGCTCACTCTATACCCTCTCAGGTGAGCATAGAGGAGGACAATTTTTTGGTGCCATGTGAAACTGAAGGTAAAATGTCAAGGGACGCACTACCTAGTTTGAGGCTCTGATTCTGCTAAGAAATTGTTGGAACATAGTGCTGGCTCCAGTCTGAAGGTTTTAGGGTATGGTATACTTAGGTGAGATATCCCCTTCAGAGAAAACAAGGCTTATTTACAGAATAAACAGTGTTGAGGTAAAGCCTGACTGGAGGGCAAAGTACCTTCCTTAAGCTGACATATTTATTTTTCTGAGCAAGTGTAAATTGCTTATTAGAGGTAAGGATTTGTTTTAGCAAGAGAGGCAGGTTTGGTGAGTGGGGGGAGAGTGGCATGGTTATGTGAGGACCAATTCTACCCTGTTCTTTCAACACCCATTCTCCCCCTCTTGCAAGACAATGATTGAATCTGAGTAGAGTAACATACCCATAGCAGAGAAGGGAAATAGGGGAGGAAGGAGAGAGGGTAGTTAATGAACGGGAAATGGTGGGAGGAGGGAGAGAATTAATGAGTAAGAGAGCTGCTCTGGTTTGATTGTCTATTGACACCCTTCATCCACTCAAAAAGGACATTGTGCACAACTGCCTTCTCGCTTCTAATAATGCTACTCTTTGACCAGTTTGCAGGAGTTTCCTACATATTCCTACACCTTCCAAAAATTTCACAGTAGTGCTTAAATTAGAGCTGACTATAACATGGCTTATGCTGTATTCCAAATGATCTTATCCTTTTATACTGCTGCTGAAGAACTTGTTTTAATCCGTAAAGCAAATTTCTTATGTGTCGAACACTGTTTGACTGTTAATTTGCACAGATTAATTTTAAGCTTCAGCTAAAAGAACTTGAATGAAGAGGGCTGCACTAAAGCAGAGGTCATGAGAGCTACAGGCTTTCTGTAGTGAAGTTTAGACAACTGTACTCTGAGAGAAGGATACTCAGCAGACATAGCCAGCTAGATAGGTATTATTTTCACAACAGTAGGGCAAAGATATCTGGGGCAAATGGAATCCTGGAAATAAAGATATACGGTAGTGTTGCAACTCCTGCCATTTTATCATAAGTCTTGCAATATTTACTGTTTTACTTGTAGCCCCAACTCCTGGAGACAAGTGGTTAGGTGAAAAACCTCAGCTTTCATTTGTTTTTTAAAAGGTTGCTAGTGTCAGGGATGTGGAGAAAAGTGACCCAACTGCATCCAAATGGCTCATACAGCAGAAAGGAATGAAAAGAACTGGAAAAGTATTATATTTACATAAATCTCATGATTTATAAACCAATCTTGTGATTTTTGGAGCCTGACCCAGATATC